ATCATATAGTTATACGCGGGACGGACGGTCAGGACTTGGACGCCCGACCGTCCTCCCGGTATCTTCGGAGCGCCTGAAAGGGGGAAGGGAGGAGGAAGACAAGATGACAAAACGACGGGCCGGTATTGGGGTGGCGCAGAGGACTCCCTAATCTCAATAAATAAGGCCGGGATTCAACAAAATATTTATTTAGGCATCAAAATATATAAGTGGGTTAAATAATTAAAACAAATAAAAATGGAAAGGCATTTAAAATAAAAGTAAATACAAGGCAAAATCAAAAATAATATTAAATCCAATAAACACTCTCATCTCCATTCCAAAACAATTCCAAACAAAAACAAACGAAGGAGAATGAACCAACATCTTCTTCCTTCTTCCAATCAAGTAGTAGAGAGAAAGGGGGTGGGGCTTGGGGGTGAAAAGTGGATAAAATGATAGAGAAGAGAGGGAAGGGAGAGCCTATATGATTGAGTCGGGGATTGGAAAAGGAATGGCATTGGTGGGGGTATTCAAGTCTGGTATTGTCCGTCCCGCGTAACATCTATCGCCCCTCAATAAGCGTGACCTCACGCTTACGAATTGTTTCATTTTTGGGTGTAGGGGAGTTGGGTGTTTTAGTGGTGAATTTATTTCGCCGCTAAAACAAGGGATAAGTGGGGGAAGTATATTTGGAAATTTCACCTTGTGCATTAAAGATTAAATGGTGTACTATTATTTTTAGCACCGTTTGATCTCTAATGTGCCGGGTTGAAGAGAACAACAAAAAAAAATTTTGAGGGGAAAAGGAGGAGGTGGAGGTTTGAATTTGGAGACAATTAAACTTGACAATTAAATTTTCAAATTTAATTATTTGGAGAAGGGGGAAAGGGGAATTTAATTATTAAAAATATTACTTAAATTTGATAACTAAATTTTCTAATTAATTATTTGGGGGAGGAGGGACCTTGTACCATTCTTGCTTAACCTTACACCATTGCCAATAATGGTTATCAAAGAATTTTATTTGGGTATTATTGTGAGATGGAATATTTTGTGGAGCATGAGGAAATTGTGGGTGGTGTGGAAAATTAAATTGATTGTAATGTTGAGGGTGATGATAAGAAGTGGATGGGAATTGGGAGGTAGATTGTTGGTAATGTGGGGAGTAAGTTTGAGAATATTGTGGACGAAATGAGGTAGGAGAAGGAGAGGGAGAAAAATTTGGTATAGTATGTGTGGGATTACCAAAAAGAGAAGGGATTGGTGGTTTATTGAAAGAGAATGTTTTAGCATTCTTTAGCAATGGGGGGATTGGTTTAGAGAATTTAGAGAATTTGGCGGGTTGTGTGGTTGACTGGGATGGTTTTGTTGTCATTCCAGCCATGTGTGGTTTCTTTGATGGAGGTGGTGCCGGTTGTTCATTTTGAGTTGAAGAAGATGAAGGTGCCTGTCTAAAAAGTAAATTGTGATTAATTACGGGTGTGTATCTGGTGGCAATATTAATAAATTTCCGCCAGGATTCACATTCATTAAGGGTGTCAAAGTCTCCAATCAGGCAGAAAGCCTGTTTGGCCCTAGAGATTGCAACGGCTACCCGGTGGGGATCATTAATGAAAGTCAGGGAATTCTTATAATCTGTAATGTTTTCTGGGAGTTTTTTAGTGGTTACAAGGATTATGATTTGTTCCTCGCGAGCCTGGTATGCATCGACCGTGATGCATTTGGTTCTCGGCAAGTTCAAGAGTTTTAATTCTTCAACTTGCTTTTTATACAAACAGATAATCACAATTGGTAAATTGGTGGTTTCTAGGAATTTTTCGGTTATTAATTTAGCTATTTGTGTTTGTGAGGTATTGAAGCGGGAGAATGAGTGATTATCTCTCTCATCTTTTTCGGGTGTGTGTACTAAGAGGAGAGGTATATTACTTACTGGGAAGGGGAATGTGAGTGCTTCGGCTCTTTGATTTTCTGATACCCCGGGTTCTAGGTCTAAATCGTAAAAAGTTTCGGCTACTATATTTGTTAAAGCTGGGTGACTTCTATATGATTTAGTGAGTTTAATGACTGGGATTGAGGGTATTGAGAGTGCATGGTTTAATATGGAGTTGAAGCCATATTTGTGGAGGTATTTTGGGATGTCCTCTTTATAAACACCCAGTTGTTTTTGATCCCCGGTGACAAAAATTTTCTCTAATTTTGTTGCATAGGTTAAGATATGGATTATTTCACTGGTTGGGGTTTGGCCTGCTTCGTCAATAAAAAGGTGGGTCGTGTTGACTATCAGTGTCGACACGTCCTCACACATAGAGACAGTTGATAGCCTAGTAGGGGGTGATATGTCAGATGTAAGTACAATAATGGCGGTTGACTTTTCATCAGCCATTTTTGGCTTACTGAAAGCCTTCTCTTTATATCGGAGTGCAATTCTTCTGTCCTTAATTTTGAGGGAGTCAATGTCAATGTCTTGGAGGGAAGTAATTAATAAATGTTCCTTAAAATCGTTAAAGAGTTCCATGTACTGTTCCTTAGCTCTCGCCGATAATAGGACCAGTGCAGTTTTGTTTAATTTTGAGAGCTCGGGACATATATATTCAACTATTTTACTCATAGCAAGGTTGCTGTGAGCAATTATAGTTGGACATTTATCTATTTTCATGAGTTGTAGGGCCATTATTCCTATAATTTGTGATTTTCCGGTTCCCGGAGGAGCTAATGTAACAACTATGGACGGGGAAGGGTTAAAAATGAGATCAATTGCTCTTAATTGTTCTTCATTCGGAGGAGTTTCAGAATCATAAGCAAATATGGCATGAGCGAGGTCTCGGGTGTTTTTAAGTCGAGGTCTTGTGTCAATACCTAAAATTTGTTTCAACAATGTTGCTTGTGGGGATGAATTTTCGGTGAGTCGGAGTGGTTCAAGTGCTGACCAGGAAATTTGGAAAAGCGAAAAGCCCGGGTATAATCATAAGCAAACATAGAATGTGTGTCAGACGGGTAATGAACGGGGCAATGGAGAAGCTAGGTTTTACGTTTGATTGGTTCTCCCAATTTTCAAGTTTTGTTGGGCGCATTGGTTCAATGTCGGGGGTTTCATTAATCTTACCCTTATTTTTGGAATTTTCGGGAGGGGAGAGTGTTAATGATTTTAGATTATGTGGGTCAGGGTCATCAGAATTCCAAGTATATTCTTGGTTGTTTCTTTCATGAATGTCTATGAAATTTAGACGTTCAGTAGTGTTTCTTATATTGGGGTTGTTTCTATTTTGCCCGGGGTTGTATGCCGGATTATTCCTTAAAGGTTGAAAATTTGGATTGAAAGAGCGGTTTCGGTTAGGGTACGGTCCATAAAGTCGTGCCCTGGTGTAACAATCGGCGATTACATGCCCCATTTTATGGCAATAATTGCAAGTCTTAAATGCATTTGGGTTAGATGGTCCGGTATTTTGGGATTGATTGAAGTTGCGCGAGTACTGGGGTCTGGCCTGGAAGTTTTGTGATACATTTCCTCTAAAATTTCTTTGAGGTTGATTTTGGTTCCAATAAGTATTTCTGGGTCGTTGGTTATAGTTTGTGCCTGGGGTAGTGGTAAAATTACTATTTGGATTGTTCTGCCAAGTAGTAAAATTGCCAATAGGAAATCGAGGAGGGTTTTGTGTGTTTGCATGAGATATGACATTGAGCCATTCCTCATGGTCGTGTTTGCGTTTACGTGTTTGAATTAAGTTTTCTACTTCTAGTGCCTTAATCCTAACTTCTTCGAATGATTGCTGGGGGGTAATTCCTACTCTAACATAGAATGCGATTTCTTCCTTAATTTTATCGAGAAATGCAGCCTTTAGAATGTCTTTTCTTGACTGAGGGGTTTGTTCGGGATATGCTGCGAAAACAAGAGGGATGAGTCTATCGACAAATCGATCAAGTGACTCATCTTCCTTTTGTCGGCAGAGGGAGAGAGATTGTTTTGCCAATTGAGCTCTGATTGGGGTGTCAAGGGAGCGTTTGAGTGAATCTAATGCCTTGGCTAGAGTGTTTTTGTCTTCGGGAGGGAGTTCTTCTAGGACCTGCCGGGGTATTCCGTCTAAAAACATTTTAAGTCTGCCTATTTTTGAGGGTTCGTCTAACTTTTGTGCGGTTCCTTCCATATAATCGAGAAATTTTTGGGCCCATGAGGAAAAGGTGCCAGAGGATTCGCCTGAGTAAATTGGGACGGGGCCATGGGAGTTGAGGGGGTAATCAAATGTAAGGCCGGCGATGCGTCCGATTGTGTCTTCTTCATCGTCGGAGAGGTTGGTTTCGGAGTTTGGGAGTTGGATGGGGGCGGTATTAGTTTGCTGCTGGGAATTCCCTGCGGCATTTGCTGGTGTCAGACTAATTAAATTTTCGGTCGGGACTGTTGCTTTTGGCTGAGGAGTTTGGGTTTCGGGCAAGAGTGTGTCTATTCTTTTGGCCAAAGTGAGAAGTCCCGTGTTTAGATCCCCAGAAATTGTGTTTATCGCTTGTGTCGTGGAGTTTACCCTTCGGTTAACTGCACGAAAAGAGCGATTCACTGACTCTTCTAAGGAGGCAGTATTAGCTAGAAGACTATCTAGATCCTGAAATTTCGGATTCCCTGTACGCCCGGAAAAGAGCCTACGGTCAATTGCAGTAATATTTTCGGTCCCTACTGGTGTATTTTCGTCTTCAGTCATTACTGGTGTTTTTTGAATGAATGAGAGGGTGATGATTTAAATAAATTAAAATTTTAAATTAAAATTAAAAACGATAAATGAGAGGGAAAAATAAAAATTAAAAAAAAAATTGAAAATGGAAAATGATCAGTTAATATTATTTGAATAATACTAACGATGTGTTTTAATTAAATTATTTTAAAAAGAAAAATTTTATTTGTAGTTGATTATAAGTAGGATGATTTTGAAAAAAGAATTTTTTTTTGAATTAAAATTAAAAGGTGATGGATAATGATTTTCCTTACTCTTATATATGGATAATTTCTATCAAAGGGGCGTTATGGCTTAAAGGATGCATCTGGGAAAGCTAATATTTTGTTTTCTTTTTATTGTAATTACTGGGAATTATTATTTTAAAAAGGATAGAAGGAAAAGGATAGTTTGTAATGCTTTTACTGTTTTAAAGATGGCGCTTTCTCAAGGGAGTGTAATAATTGTTAGCTATCTAAGGGAATTTGTTTTAAAATTGTTTGTTTCAATCGCGCCGATAAAAAATGATTTTAAAGAGATAAGGATGATTCCCAGACTTGGACAAAATTTTATTTTTCTTTTCTCTTTTTTTTTGTAAAGGATTGGAATGCACGCGGACTTTGTTTTTGTACAGTATCCTATCTCTTCTCAGGGAAAATAAAAAGTGGATTTTTTAGAAAAATATTAAAATATACTGTATTGAAAAAATTTTTTGGAATAAGTGAACACAAAAATTTACAATGATTTTTAAATTTAAAAAAATATTTAATTTTAAAATTTACAATATTTCTTATCCCTGTTATATCTTTTTTTTGTTTTGGATGTTTCCGAAACAAATGGATGATTTTTCCTATGGATGATTTTTCCTATTAGGCGATTTGTGATTTTAATCTCTAGTTTTAACACCCGATTGATAAAACTAGAAAATTAGGTAAGAAGGGTTTGAGAAATATTTTAAGGGGATGGGAAACCTAAAAAAAATTTGTTCCTAAAATTTCATTCTAGTCTTAACAAAAAGACTGGTATGAAATAGGGATGGAGAATTTTTTTATTTTGAAAAGCGGAAGGCGGAAGCGGGGGAAAGCGGAATAAAATTAAAAAAAAAGAGGAAGACGGAAGGTGGAGCGGAAGACCAAAAAGAGGGCAGAATTCTGAGGAAGGCGGAACGCGGAAGCGTTCCTCCCTGGTATGAATTCCTAGGATTATTTTAAAATAATTTATTTAAGAATAATTTGTTTTAGATATGCATAAAAATTGAAAGATAAGTAATAAAAATAACCATTATCAAATATGTATATGGATGGGGTTGGGAGTGGTAAAAATAAAGAGGTTGTTGACAAATGGTTGGAAAAAAATGTTTACTGGGAACTGGGAAGAGTGTGGCACTGTAAAAATGGTTAAAATTTTAGTGGAAAGGTTTGTTCTGGAATATCCGAAACAAACAATTTTAATGCGGGGAGTTTCAGAAGAAAGGGGAAATAAAAGACCCAGATCCAGACCTTGATTTTTCCAACAGGGGGATTTTGATTTTAACATTCTATTCTTAAAGTAACCTGATAAGGATAAAAAGTTAAGAGAAAAGGGAAAAATAAATTTATGTAATTTTAACATTAATAAATTCATAGTTTATAAAATGTATGTAAGGACAAATTTATAAAAAAATGTGTAAGGACGGAGATGCAAAATGGTAGGAAATAAGGAGAGATGTTGAGAAAAGTGGCCAGAAAAATTATAATGGGGAAAGTAAAGCGAAGCTAAAATGGGCAAAAAGGGTAGGTCAATTTTTTCTTCTTTGCCTGTTTGGATGTGCGCATTTTTTATTGAACTGCTGCAGGAATGGGACAACGAAAAGGACAAAGAAAATATGTGTTTTTTGAATGGGTTGGGGGGGGGGGGAGAGAATGCTAAACTACACATCTGTGTTTTATAACGCCGATGTTGTAGATAGCTTGGCTTGGGGTAATGTCTGGGTCAATTTGAAGGGAATTTATTGTAAAAAAATAGTGCCTATATTTTTATTGGAGAAAGAAAAAAAAATTTTCCATCCTGATATAGGATGAATCAGTGTTTATTTTAAAAATGGGAGGGAGAGAGGGATAAAGGATTAAAAAAAAAAATTTTGGGTCGAGAGGGAAGGGAACCATCCGGTGTGCTACCAGTTATACGCGGGACGGACGGTCAGGACTTGGACGCCCGACCGTCCTCCCGGTATCTTCGGAGCGCCTGAAAGGGGGAAGGGAGGAGGAAGACAAGATGACAAAACGACGGGCCGGTATTGGGGTGGCGCAGAGGACTCCCTAATCTCAATAAATAAGGCCGGGATTCAACAAAATATTTATTTAGGCATCAAAATATATAAGTGGGTTAAATAATTAAAACAAATAAAAATGGAAAGGCATTTAAAATAAAAGTAAATACAAGGCAAAATCAAAAATAATATTAAATCCAATAAACACTCTCATCTCCATTCCAAAACAATTCCAAACAAAAACAAACGAAGGAGAATGAACCAACATCTTCTTCCTTCTTCCAATCAAGTAGTAGAGAGAAAGGGGGTGGGGCTTGGGGGTGAAAAGTGGATAAAATGATAGAGAAGAGAGGGAAGGGAGAGCCTATATGATTGAGTCGGGGATTGGAAAAGGAATGGCATTGGTGGGGGTATTCAAGTCTGGTATTGTCCGTCCCGCGTAACAATATATAGGGTGATAAGAGGTGATGAGTCGAACGGTACCAGTCTTTTTTTTTTGGAGATGCCTGTGGCTGAGATATAGAGCTCGAAATGGTCAAAAGCCATAGGGGGATTTAGGGTCAAAAAATTTGAACATAATGATTAATTGCCCTTAAGATACATAAAAATGTTTAAGTGAATTAGTTAGTATTTCAGTGAATGTTTATTAAGTGAATTGTCCCATTTGAAATAATAAATAAGCCAACAATTTTATAAAATAAAAAGCTATTTTTATTTTATTCCCAAATAAATATTCTTAAATTATGTTAAGTTCCTAGCAAAAATTAGAAATATTTTATTTCAGAATTTGCCAAATAAATACTTGCAGAATTTACCCACAAAACATCATTTAATAAAAATAATTCTCTAAATAAATTTAAAAAATGACTAAAACTAATTCTATTATATTTTTAATTTTTTTAATAATTAATTTTATAATTTATTACACAATGGCTGATTACCGTGAAACCCATCCAGGGAATTCACCTGGAATTGGACATTGAATTGGTGAAAATTGTAAAATTGAATTTTGTATACATATATTAATTCTCTAAGATATTTCCCTCCTCACTTACAGAGGATCGAAATCAGGGAAGGGCGCCAGAGACGATCAGAAAAAATCAAAAAAAAAATCAGAAAAACGCAACGCAAGGACAAAATTTAACGTATATAACGCAATGCGCCCAATCCTGATAGGAATAAGCCATGTTACTTTTGGATTATGTAACATTATTTGGGTTTAGGGTTATGGAAAGTGGGTCTTTGATCGTGTTACTGGATGTGATTGTCATTGTCTTACTGGCAGCCTTTTTGTTAAATTTATTATTCGATGGATCAGCAGAATTAAAGGTGACCTGGCTTATGATCAAAGAAAGAGTTGCTATGGATCAAAGCTCCGATAATGATACAAAATCCAAAAGTAACCACAAAACCCAGACAAATCAAAGTGAAAAATATGCGAGATGAGCCGCTAATTATTACCCAAAATATTAGCAAAAAACTAATTGTTCTATTTTAATTAGGAAAGTGAAAAGTCAATTGAATATGGGGATATGGAGAAGATTGGCATACGACAAACTTTTCTTCAAAAAATAAAATTGGGATGTTCTTCTTAATTTTTGCAAAGTGTTTAGAAAAATTTTAAAATTCTGTCCTTAATAAATTTAATATTTTCTTTCTTCAAAATAAATAAATAGTTAAATGATGGGAGAATAAATTATTATGGATTTTTTTATTTTTTAGAGGGATATACAGAGATTGATATAGAGGGATATCCAGAGATATAGAGAGTAATAGAGAGAGAAGCAATTATGAGAAGGTTTATCACTTCCAATCTCCTACATTAACTTAGAGCTATTATATTATTGAATTATCCACTCCCTTTTTTATTTTCTTTTTCTTTCCCTAAAACGAGAAAAGATTTCTGGATTGTAAAGAGATATACTTTTTTTTAGATAAACCATAATTAACCCCAACTAACATTTCAAAATATTTAGAGAATTCATTTTCAATAAAAAATCTTTCTAGAATGAGTAAAGGAAAGGAATTTCTAATAATAAAATAATTTGGTTCATTAATAAGGTAGTTTGAACTCTCTAAATAATTTTTTGGCGATTCACGTGAAATTCCTCAATTACACACAGCTTCTTTTTGAGTAAAACTTAAATTTATTAATTAATTCGAGGGTTTAGATTTTGAAATTAATTTAAACTAACAAACAAAATGCTTAAAAATATACCAAAAATAAAATGACAAAGAGGACCGAAAGTTAATTTATGGTACAAAAAGGATGCTTTCGTGAAGGGCATTAAGGTACTCATTTGCCAGACAGTTAAGTAAATAAATGGTTTGGTACATTTTTGGCCAAAATTTCTATTAATTATAGAGGACATCGTACAAATCTCACAATAAAAAATTTTTAAGTTTATTAATTTTTAAAATTTTGAACCAAAGTTTTTCTTTTTATTCTAATTAATAAATTTGCAAAATAAATATTTCACATATTGGATGTTCCGTCCCTTTCTCAACTACTCTAAGTCGTTCTAGGGGCATTTCAGTGTATTGTCCATTAAGCGAAATGTCTAATTTACGTATAAAATAATACAAAAACTTAATAGAAAAAGTTCATTTTTATTAAAAGACTAAATAAACATTTTAAAGTATTAAATGAAATTTTACTTGAATTCGGCAATTTTTTATTTTCAGAAATTTGGCCAGATAAATAAAAGTGTAATTTACCCAATTTAATATCATTTTTAATAGAAAAAATTCAAAAAATGATTAAAATAAATTTTATTATATTTTTCCTTTTATTTATAATTAATTTTATGATTAATTATATAATGGCTGGACACGGGCCATCGCAAAAAGGACAGGGACATGAGTGTAATGTTGGTTGTAAGAGTAAGTGAATTTAATTTAAATGGAAAAATTTAAGGGTAAAAAAATGACAGTTTTTCTTGAAGATGGCGAATCAGCAATTAAAATTTTTTACAGAAAAATTTGCAAAAAGCTGTCTGGCTTCAAGGAAATTCGAAAATTTTTTTACAAAACTATGTATGTGAAGAAAATTTCACAGGGAATATTATAACAGAAATGGTTTTATTTCGAAATCTAGTGATTACTAGATTGAACCAAAGACATTATTTAATAGTGTATGTCAAATAAAATAGTTAAATAATTGAGTAAATAAATGAATAGGTATTAGACAAAAAATAATTTTTATTTTTTAATCAGAGCAACCAGGAAATTGACAGAGTCTGAAGATTTGGATGTAGCTAGACCAGAAATCTGACTTTTCTAAAGTAATATGGCGATTACCTATTATATTTATTCAAATTCAAAAACTTTAAAAGTATAACTGAAGATTTTTCATAATAATGTATTTTAAACTAAAAATTGTCTTCTTTTTCTCTTTTACAACAAATACTTTTTAATTGACCTTCGTTAGCTCACCTGCTTATAAAATGTATTAATCACCCCTTACAGGGCTTCACTTTTTCTCTCCATTCACTTTTCTAAAAGCATTTTTTATAAGGAAAAATAAATCATTGTCTTTAAATTGTTTCACCTTTTCTTCTTAAAACTTAGCTTTACCCTATATCTAGGTCCACAGGCATCTACGTGAAAAAAAGGTGGTACCGTTCGACTCAGCACCCTTCATTACCCTATATATGACATTTTGAGCATTAATTTAAGGGGATGTGGTAGAACGGAAATTACCAAAAATAATTGAATTAAAAAGAAAATAAATTTCAAAGGAAGAAATTTATCAGTTTAGCAGAAGACTAAACAAAGGAAAATTAATTTGAGACTCAAATAGGGTTTGGACGGGATATTAATAAAGAACCGTTTTTTATAATTTGAGAAATAAATTATTAGAAATAAATTTATAACCTGCACTTGTACATCTTCTATGAGTGAAAGTGGAATTGCATCTAAGAGAGTCTCGAGGTTTGTTAATTAACGTCATTTTGTTAATTAACGCAATGTATAAAGTTTTGCCCCCTTTAATAAAACAAATCCAAAAACATTTAAAAAGAATATTTGCACTTTATTTCACTCGACAAATTCTCATGATTAGTCAATAAATATTTTTATTTAATCGAAAAGGCGGCATTGAGAAATAAATAATTCAATCTTGTGTTAAATAACCTTTTAATATTAAATATTATTTAATTATTTACTTGAGAAATCTTAAAATAATTTTTGCCTTCAAATTATACTTATATGTATTTATGGGTAAAGCCCAAAACGGCGCAAAGCCATAACTTGCTGTAATATAACCTACTGTCATATGTCCTTAATAATTTTCTTACGAATCCCCTTAGCTCGATGAGAGAACTCGTTTGATACTAAATTTTATAAGATCAGGAAATTTTGAAGTATGTAGGTTATAGCTTTGCGCCGTTATGGCCGCGTCGCGTAAAATACGGACAGAAAAAAGGTAAATGCTCACAAAAAACGAAGGAAATAAAAAATTTATAAGAAAAATAATCCTTTTGCATTTATAGACTTAAGGCACAAATCAAAAATAGAGAGAAAAATATAAGAAAATTAACAATTTTTAGGAATAAGGAAAAAATTTGAGTCCCGTATTCCTATCATCTACTACCAATTTTTTGAACTAATTTTAAAAACAAGTAATGTCGGTCAGCAAATATCAGTCCGCAAAAGTCGTCCGCAGGTGTCGTAGAATCTTATAGGTACTTTATGGATATGTCACCCCCCCCCCCCTCCTATTTTGAGTCTCAGTTTTCCTTAAACGTAAAAAATGGTCAGAGATTATTTTCTTCTCCATGTCAATTATTTTTTTCTTCTTCAAGTATTTTGCTTGTTTATTTTGCCTTTTCACATATTTTTTACTTACATTTCACTCATTTCGTTTCTACATTTACCACATTTCATTTGTTTTGCTTGAAAAAAGAAAAATGATTGACATGGAGAAGAAAATAATCGCTGACCATTTTCTACGTTTAAGGAAAACTCTGAGACTCAAAATAGGAGGGGGGTGACATATCCATAAAGTACCATCTTATACATATAGCCTTATTTTTATATTTTTGTGTCGAATTAGCGGCATTGAAAAATAAATATATCTATTTTGTGCCAAATGAACTTTTAATATTAAATATTACTTGATCATTAAAAAATAACAAATAATTTTTACCTCAAGTTATACATATGCATTTAATATATTTTGACTACAGTTGTGGTTTCTTGTATTATTTTCTTTTATTATTTCTTTTATTTTATTATTTTGTATTTTTATATTTTTTATTTTATATTAAATTTTATATTATCCAATAGTTTACTAATATTTTTTTGTGAAATTAATATTTTTAATAACCTTCTGAAAATTATAATTCTTATTTATTATAATAGATGAAAAAATTATTTATTTTTTATTTAATTATTTTTTTAAAAGTTCAATGGGCAAGAGAATACAAACATGCTAAAGTAGTAGAAGTAAAAATAAGTGACGATTGGAAATTTAACAGACAATTTAATTATTTAAAACATATTGGACAGAAAGAACGTTTTCTATTGAAATCTAGAAAAATCATGAACACATTGCAATTCATCAGAGATGACATGGTTTTTAATAGGATAGAATCATTGCCATTATTAGAATTTAATCCCAAAACTAATGCTTTTGATGTTCAAATAACTGCTGTTTCAAGATTTAGTCCAAATATTCAATTGACAAAGAAGGTTGTCATTCAAATAGCCAAACATCAATTTATTAATGATCTGATACCCGAATCGAATAAACAGGTGCTTATATAATTAATTAATAAAAAATCATAATATATCACACCTCACAAAGGTGCTGAGGTGTTGAGTATTGTAAAGCGGTTAACATCAAAGTAGTATGATCGGAAATCTAAGATGTAGAAAGTCTCTAAACACACAGTCTAGTCATCTAGACTTATAGTACACACGCCATTATTCAACGAGATCTATCTGAAAATCCAAAAATCGGGACGGAGTTGGACTCTATTTATAAAAACCATGATATCCTAAAAGATGGAAATAACCTCATTATAAACTTGAACATGTTAAGTTTATAAATTTAAGGTGCTTATAAATAATAATTTTACTAAAATGAAGAATAATTACTTTGAAAGTTCTATATTAGAAAAAAGTTTAGAAAATCTGTATAAAAATAACTCAATAAAAGAAAATATTGAAGATTACAAAAGCAAACTTTTATCGAGTTATTGGTCGGAAATTAATTTAATTGGATATAAAATTGAATTGTTAGAAAAACAAAAAGCTGAGTATCATCAAGAATTAAAAAACAGAATTAAATACATTGGCAATAAAATAAGTAAATAAATTTTTATTTTTGACCATTTTAAGGGTTTATTTTTAATTATCTAAATTATTACAGATGAAAGTAATGAAGGAAATAAACGAAATTGCTTCAATTGCAAAGATTATCAAGCTAAAGAATGGTATAATTACTTAAAAGAACAATACTTGTGCAAAAAATGTAGTGTATATATACATAGATACGGAAGAGTTAGGCCGAAAGAATTAAGGTTTAAGTCTAAAAAGGTTTGTAGAAAAATAATTCAGTTAGTTAGCTAGTATAGGTTAGCTAGTTATTTATTATATTATAAATCGGTTAGCTAGTATAGGCAAGTATATCTAGTAAATAAAGTCAATTTCTTCTTTGTCGGAAGGAAGTGAATCTGGAAGAACCGCTTTCTTGGTTTTCAGCCCTAAAATGCATAACTGCTCCCCGTAGCAGGACAAAAACTGTTTTCTCCAGGTAAAAAGCTCACCGTGCCTTCTCTACAAGGCACGGAAAATTAGTATTGTATGGGTAAAACTTAACATTCTATCGCTAAAATATTTTATTTTCGAATTCTTTATTAATACCATAATATGTAATTATTAAATATTCACGTAAGAACACTTTTACTATTTAATTATTTAGAGAATTAGTATAAAAGCCCGAAATTGTCACATTT